TCTGTTACCTCTGCCCCAAGTCTAAATATTCCTCTATCATCTCCTCTGTTACCTCTGCCCCAAGTCTAAACATTCCTCTACCTTCTCCTCTGTTACCTCTGCCCCAAGTCTAAATATTCCTCTACCTTCTCCTCTGTTACCTCTACCCAAAGTCTAAATATTCCTCTAACATCTCCTGTCACCTCTACCCTAAGTCTAAATATTCCTCTACCATCTCCTCTGTTACCTCTACCTCAAGTCTAAACATTCCTCTACCATCTCTTCTGTTACCTCTACCCCAAGTCTAAATATTCCTCTATCATCTCCTCTGTTACCTCTGCCCCAAGTCAAAATATTCCTCTACCTTTTCCTCTGTTACCTCTGCCCCAAGTCTAAATATTCCTCTATCTGTTACCTCTACCCCAAGTCTAAATATTCCTCTACCTTCTCCTCTGTTACCTCTACCCAAAGTCTAAATATTCCTCTATCATCTCCTCTGTTACCTATATCCAAGTCTAAATATTCCTCTACCATCTCTTCTGTTACCTCTGCCCCAAGTCTAAACATTCCTCTATATTCCTCTATCATCTCATCTGTTACCTCTACCCCAAGTCTAAATATTCCTCTATCATCTCATCTGTTACCTCTGCCCCAAGTCTAAATATTCCTCTATCATCTCATCTGTAACCTCTACCCCAAGTCTAAATATTCCTCTACCTTCTCCTCTGTTACCTCTACCCCAAGTCTAAAGATTCCTCTATCATCTCATCTGTTACCTATGCCCCAAGTCTAAATATTCCTCCTTATATTCCTCTAACATCTCCTGTTACCTCTACCCCAAGTTTAAATGTTCCTCTACCACACATCTCATCTGTAACCTCTACCCCAAGTCTGAATATTCCTCTACCTTCTCCTCTGTTACCTCTCCCCAAAGTCTAAATATTCCTCTATCATCTCCTCTGTTACCTCTGCCCCAAGTCTAAATATTCCTCTACCATCTCGTCTGTTACCTCTACCCCAAGTCTAAATATTCCTCTACCATCTCCCGACCTCTACCCCAAGTCTAAACATTCCTCTACCATCTCCTGTTACCTCTACCCCAAGTCTAAATATTCCTCTACCATCTCCTCTGTTACATCTTATATTCCTCTAACATCTCCTGTTACCTCTACCCCAAGTCTAAATGTTCCTCTACCACACACCTTGTTACCTCTACCCCAAGTCTAAATATTCCTCTATCATCTCCTCTGTTACATCTTATATTCCTCTACCATCTCCTGTTACCTCTACCCCAAGTCTAAATATTCCTCTACCATCTCCTCTGTTACCTCTACCCCAAGTCTAAATATTCCTCTACCATCTCATCTGTTACATCTTATATTCCTCTAACATCTTCTGTTACCTCTACCCCAAGTCTAAATATTCCTCTATCATCTCATCTGTTACATCTTATATTCCTCTACCATCTCCTCTGTCCCCTCTATCCCAAGTCTAAATATTCCTCTATCATATCCTCTACTACCTCTAACACAAGTCTAAATATTCCTCTATCATCTCCTCTGTTACCTCTACCCCAAGTCTAAATATTCCTCTATCATCTCCTCTGTTACCTCTGACCCAAGTCTAAACATTCCTCTACCATCTCCTCTGTTACCTCTACCCCGAGTCTAAATATTCCTCTACCATCTCATCTGTTACAACTTATATTCCTCTAACATCTTCTGTTACCTCTCCCCCAAGTCTAAATATTCCTCTATCATCTCTTCTGTTACCTCTACCCCAAGTCTAAATATTCCTCTACCATCTACTCTGTTACCTCTACCCCAAGGCTAAACATTCCTCTACCATCTCTTCTGTTACCTCTGCCCCAAGTCTAAATATTCCTCTATTATCTCCTCTGTTACCTCTGCCCCAAGTCTAAATATTCCTCTACCATCTCATCTGTTACAACTTATATTCCTCTAACATCTTCTGTTACCTCTACCCCAAGTCTAAACATTCCTCTATCATCTCCTCTGTTACCTCTGCCCCAAGTCTAAATATTCCTCTACCATCTACTCTGTTACCTCTACCCCAAGTCTAAACATTCCTCTACCATCTCTTCTGTTACCTCTGCCCCAAGTCTAAATATTCCTCTATCATCTCCTCTGTTACCTCTGCCCCAAGTCTAAACATTCCTCACCCATCTGTTCTGTTACCTCTACCCCAAGTCTAAATATTCCTCTATCATCTCGTCTGTTACATCTTATATTCCTTTAACATCTCCTGTTACCTCTATCCTAAGTCTAAATATTCCTCTATCATCTCATCTGTTACATCTTATATTCCTTTAACATCTCCTGTTACCTCTATCCTAAGTCTAAATATTCCTCTATCATCTCATCTGTTACATCTTATATTCCTTTAACATCTCCTGTTACCTCTATCCTAAGTCTAAATATTCCTCTATCATCTCATCTGTTACATCCTATATTCCTCTAACATCTCCTGTTACCTCTACCCCAAGTCTAAACATTCCTCTATCATCTCCTCTGTTACCTCTACCCCAAGTCTAAACATTCCTCTACCATCTCTTCTGTTAGCTCTACCCCAAGTCTAAATATTCCTTTATCATCTCCTCTGTTACCTCTGCCCCACGTCTAAATATTCCTCTATTATCTCCTCTGTTCCCTCTGCCCCAAGTCTAAATATTCCTCTATAATCTCCTCTGTTACCTCTGCCCCAAGTCTAAATATTCCTATATCATCTCCTCTGTTACCTCTGCCCTAAGTCTAAATGTTGCTTTATCATCTCCTCTGTTACCTCTGCCCCAAGTCTAAACATTACTCTACCATCTCTTCTGTTACCTCTGCCCCAAGTCTAAATATTCCTCTATAATCTCCTCTGTTACCTCTGCCCCAAGTCTAAATATTCCTCTACCTTCTCCTCTGTTACTATGATCTCATCTCTTACCTATGCCCCAAGTCTAAATATTCCTCTATCATCTCATCTGTTACATCTTATATTCCTCTACCATCTCCTCTGTTACCTCTGCCCCAAGTCTAAATATTCCTCTAACATCTCCTCTGTTACCTCTGCCCCAAGTCTAAACATACCTCTACCTTCTCCTCTGTTACCTCTACCCAAAGTCTAAATATTCCTCTCACATCTCATCTCCCCCAAGTCTAAATGTTCCTCTACCACACACCTTGCTACCTCTTCCCCAAGTCTAAAAATTCCTCTATCATCTCCTCTGTTACCTCTACCCCAAGTCTAAATATTCCTTTATCATCTCCTCTGTTACCTCTGCCCCAAGTCTAAATATTCCTATATCATCTCCTCTGTTACCTCTGCCCTAAGTCTAAATGTTGCTTTATCATCTCCTCTGTTACCTCTGCCCCACGTCTAAATATTCCTCTATTATCTCCTCTGTTCCCTCTGCCCCAAGTCTAAATATTCCTCTATCATCTCTTCTGTTACCTCTACCCCAAGTCTAAACATTCCTCTATCATCTCCTCTGTTACCTCTGCCCCAAGTCTAAACATTACTCTACCATCTCTTCTGTTACCTCTGCCCCAAGTCTAAATATTCCTATATCATCTCCTCTGTTACCTCTGCCCTAAGTCTAAATGTTGCTTTATCATCTCCTCTGTTACCTCTGCCCCAAGTCTAAATATTCCTATATCATCTCCTCTGTTACCTCTGCCCTAAGTCTAAATGTTGCTTTATCATCTCCTCTGTTACCTCTGCCCCAAGTCTAAACATTCCTCTACCATCTCTTCTGTAACCTCTACCCCAAGTCTAAATATTACTCAATCATCTCCTCTGTTACCTCTGCCCCAAGTCTAAATATTCCTCTATCATCTCCTCTGTTACCTCTGCCCTAAGTCTAAATGTTCCTTTATCATCTCCTCTGTTACCTCTGCCCCAAGTCTAAATATTCCTCTATTATCTCCTCTGTTACCTCTGCCCCAAGTCTAAATATTCCTCTAATATCTCCTCTGTTACCTCTGCCCCAAGTCTAAATATTCCTCTATCATCTCCTCTGTTACCTCTACCCAAATTCTAAATATTCCTCTACCATCTCATCTGTTACATCTTATATTACTCTAACATCTCCTGTTACCTCTGCCCCAAGTCTAAATATTCCTCTATCATCTCCTCACCCCAAGTCTAAATATTCCTCTATCATCTCATCTGTTACATCTTATATTCCTTTAACATCTCCTGTTACCCCTACCCTAAGTCTTAATATTCCTCTACCATCTCATCTGTCACATCTTATATTCCTCTAACATCTCCTGTTACCTCTGCCCCAAGTCTAAATATTCCTTTAACATCTCCTCTGTTGCCTCTGCCCCAAGTCTAAATATTCCTCTAATATCTCCTCTGTTACCTCTGCCCCAAGTCTAAATATTCCTCTAATATCTCCTCTGTTACCTCTGCCCCAAGTCTTAATATTCCTCTATCATCTCCTCTGTTACCTCTGCCCCAGTCTAAATATTCCTCTACCATCTTTTCTGTTACCTCTGCCCCAAGTCTTAATATTCCTCTATCATCTCCTCTGTTACCTCTGCCCAAAGTCTAAATATTCCTCTATCATCTCCTCTGTTCCCTCTGCCCCAAGTCTAAATATTCCTTTATCATCTCCTCTGTTACCTCTGCCCCAAGTCTTAATATTCCTCTATCATCTCCTCTGTTACCTCTGCCCCAAGTCTAAATATACCTCTAACATCTCCTCTGTTACCTCTGCCCCAAGTCTAAATATACCTCTAACATCTCCTCTGTTACCTCTGCCCCAAGTCTTAATATTCCTCTATCATCTCCTCTGTTACCTCTACCCCAAGTCTAAATATTCCTCTATCATCTCATCTGTTACATCTTATATTCCTTTAACATCTCCTGTTACCTCTACCCTAAGTCTTAATATTCCTCTACCATCTCATCTGTTACATCTTATATTCCTCTAACATCTCCTGTTACCTCTACCCCAAGTCTAAATGTTCCTCTACCACACACCTTGTTACCTCTACCCAAAGTCTAAATATTCCTCTACCATCTCCTCTGTTACCTCTACCCCAAGTCTAAATATACCTCTAACATATCCTGTTACCTTTACCTTGAATCAAAATCTTCCTTTTTTATTTTTCTTTATCAAACTCTACCGAATATCTACATTTCCCTCTACCTTTTGAGTTAACATATCTTTTTGTTTACCTATTTGTTCTCAACAAATTTATCATTAAAACTTCCAAACATCACCTCCTTTTACTATCAACTACAGCAGTTATCTCCCTTTATGAATTTAATTTTCAATGGCCTTCAAACGGCTAAATTAGTCTGAGGATGACTTACTTTAAATCTCAATCCTGATTCTTACCTCTAAATCATTGATTGTCTCAAGTATTACCTTTTAACATTTGGCAACCCAACCATCAACCTAGTTCCCAAAGCAACCTCATATGTCTTATCCTGACCGTCTCCACCCTCAAGTTTATCAACTTCAGCAGCATGAAAAGGTTCATGTCTAAATCCCATTATACTACAAAATAGGCTGTAAACTGATATCTGTACCATAAACATTTATCAGTAAATTTGCTGAATTGCTTTGTTACCAAGAGGCATTCTACCAAACAATCTTTAAACTTTTAATCGAGAAATATAAAAATAATAATGACAATTTTTCATGACGGGAACAAATTCATAAAAGTCTAAAATCGTTTTTAGAGATTACACCATCCTTCATGCCCCAAAGCCAGATACTAAAAGCCATGAGATGTTGTCTGTCGGACAAGACAAAAGATGAGGTTACACGGCCCTTCACCAGCATAGCGAGATATATACACTTAGTGGTTTATCTACCATGTTTGAAAAAACGAAACAGCTTCTAACTCTCTGCATGCATGCAATGCCACAGAGGATCTTAACCTAATATAGGATATAATCCGAACGTATTTTCCATTTGACAATATCATTCTGTGATTCCATTTTAAGGAGACAGGGTGGATGCACATTAATATGGTTTGATGCTGTATGTGCTCAAATCAGCGCCCCGGGATGGCCTACAGCTGCGGCTTTGAAGTAGTGTATATAATCAATTTAAACATCACATAACAGTTTTATTACCAAATAATTGTGTATTTTGAGTTAACAAATTTGTTCAAACCTCACATTCCCTCACATGTGAAAAACATCTATAGGAGGGCGCAGTGTATGGTTAGAGGAATATAATGCATTGTTTGTTCAATTATATAGATGGCTGCGTGTAGAATTCTTCCTCCGTTACAGTAGTGGTCCTACCCACTGAACTGTCAACAGATAACTTACGGCCAAACCTTTATTGAGTTATAATACAGCAGGGACAAGTCAACATGTCTGTAGTCTCAGGGCAGGTTTGTTTTACGGGGCTGAGCAAGAGACTTGTCAGTGTGTAATACGTGTCTAGTCAAAAGGCATGTATGGTTACCTGGGATGTGTAGACTTGTCTTCTGGGATGTGTAAGACTTGTCTAGTCCGTAGACAATAACGGCTATTTGTGGTGTGTGATACGTATTTAGTCAAAGGGCATGTATAGTTATCTGAGGGGTGTAAGACTTGTCTAGTCCGCAGACTTTGAGTTTAGTCCGTAGACAATGAATCTAGTCTGTAGACAATGAGTCTAGTCCGTAGACAATGAGTCTAGTCTGCAGACAATGAGTCTAGTCTTTAGACAATGAGTCTAGTCTGTTGACAATGAGTCTAGTCCGTAGACAATGAGTCTAGTCCGTAGACAATGAGTCTAGTCTGTAGACAATGAGTCTAGTCTGCAGACAATGAGTCTATGTCTAGTCTGTAGACAATGAGTCCAGTCAGCAGACTTTGAGTCTAATCCGTAGACAATGAGTCTAGTCCATAGACAATGAGTCTAGTCCGTAGACAATGAGTCGAGTCCGTAGACAATGAGTCTAGTCCGTAGACAAAGAGTCAAGTCCGTAGACAATGAGTCTAGTCCGTAGACAATGAGTCGAGTCCGTAGACAATGAGTCGAGTCCGTAGACAATGATAGCTATTTGTGTTATCTAATACTGGTTTAGTCCAAGAGCAAATAGTGTTTATCTGTAGTGATTCTTGTCTTTTCTGTGTCTGATTTAGTTGGCTGTGCAAGAGACTTCTCTAGTCGGCTGACAATGATAGCTATTTGTGGTGTGTGATACTTGTCTAGTCGAAGGGCATGTATGGTTATGCGTTGTCTAGTCGACTGACAATGATAGCTTTTGGTGGTGTCTAATAGGTGTCTAATCAAAGGGCATGTATGGTTATCTGGGGTGTGTCAGACTTGCCTAGTCTGAGGGTGTGTGAGACTTGTCTAATCTGAGGGTCTGAGACTTACCTAGTCTAAGGGTGTGTAAGAATTGTTTAGTTTGAAGGTGTGTGAGACTTGTCTAGTCTAAGGGTGTGTGAGACTTACCTAGTCTAAGGGTGTGTGAGAATTGTTTAGTTTGAAGGTGTGTGAGACTAGGCTAGTCTGAGGGTGTGTGAGACTTGTCTAGTCTAAAGGTGTGTGAGAATTGTTTAGTTTGAAGGTGTGCAAGACTTGTCTAGTCTAAGGGTGTGTGAGAATTGTTTAGTCTGAGACTTGTTTAGTTTGAGGGTGTGTGAGACTTGCCTAGTCTAAGGATGTGTAAGAATTGTCTAGTCTGAGGGTGTATAAGACTTGTTGTGTGAGACTTGTCAAGTCTGAGAGCATGTTTGGTTACTTGTTGTTTCAAACACTACATCAGTTTACCATACTCTATATTTTTACCACACTTCGTAATTGTATGATGTATTTTTACCACACTACGTAATTGTATGATGTATTTTTACCTCACTACGTAATTGTATGATGTATTTTGACCACACTACGTAATTGTATGATGTATTTTTACCACACTACGTAATTGTATAATTGTATGATGTATTTTTACCACACTATGTAATTGTATGATATATTTTTACCACACTATGTAATTGTATGATGTATTTCAACTGCAATGAGGCATTCTGGAATTTGACATCTCTTGATCATCTAAAATGATCAAGCGACCACTTTATTCTAAATGCAATTGGCACTCAAAGACATTAAAACATTTTCACCGCACAAAATCACAGCTCAAACATTTCTCGATAACTATA